GCGGGAGCGCGCAAAGCCCTGACGCGCGCAGCCCTTAACGGCGCTAACGCGGACCCAGTTTTGAAGACAGCTTTGTATCTGGGCAACAAATTTTTGCTTATATCTGAAGTTTACTCTTATCGCCTCCTGTTCAAGGAGAGTCACAAACTCACCTTGCCCAGTACCCCAAAAGCAGTATTCTACTCAGTCACACCGTAGGTTGTCCATATTGTTACACTAAGCCAAAAAAACAAATCAGACTTCAAAGAATGAAAGATTGCACTAACTCTGATTACGCTAACAACTTGACCAAATTGTGCAGAAAAATATGTGTATTCTCAAGCGATCCTACAGTATCTGGTTCAGATTTGTACGTGTTCACTTTGTTTCAGGGCCAGAATGGAAAATCAGATTTTGTTGCTGGCTCTGCAACAAGATTTCTATTTTGTATTTTGTTTAGTAGTTTAATTTCTGTTTCTCAGCTCCTCAGTTGTAAAATGGAAACACAACAATAAATAACTCAAAGTGTTATGAGGTAAAAGCCATTCATACTTGTGAACTGTCTGGAATTAATGTGAAAAATGGAAGAAACTATTCTAAAGTACTTAAAACATTCAAAGCTTTCTCTGTATTACCTCTTATATCATAGAATTAATATGTATTTTGAGGGAAACTGTTGACTTACAGCCCACAGGATATAGAAATGAGATGGTGAAGAAGATTTCCCTAGGAAAATATTTTACCCAGCTGTTACTCAAAGAACTGTTTATTTCATTATATATGTGTGCGCAAAACTATGAAGAGTTCACTTGAAGAGTTCTTGGCAATAAAAACAAAACTGTTCTAGCGCTTTCCAAAGCAAAATAAAACAAACAACCCCCCTAATTCTGTTGCAAAGAAATGTGCAACAATCTCTTTCTTAGTTCTCCAGGCAGTAGTGGAGAATTTTGCACTACTACGTGGTAAGAGTATATAATGTTGTTTTACCTATGTAAAAAATTATATAATCATTATATAAATTAGGACTGTCTGAGGATGTTTTGAGCTCTGTTGCCACTTTCTGTTGAAAAGATAAGCCAAAATAAAGTAGACAACAAACAAGAAAGTAGATCACAGAAACAGAGTCCATAAGCAGGCCAGAGGCGTTAGCATCGCTGCTGTGGAACCTGAATGTTTGAAGGAAAAACAGAACAAACAAACAGCTTGCAACTGTCTGAAGTAATACCTGAGGACTAAATTCTGGTACCATGATTTCTGTCAGCTTGTAAGTTACTGCCCACATAGTTTGACTGAAAGTAGAATGATTGCTTGTGAAAACAGGTAGTAAATGCAACCCAAATCTGGTCTCAAATTGTTTTCAAGGCAGCTTCCAACTCCAGTATTTTCAGAGGTGGCAGCTTACTTTGTTTGAAAGTGCAGATACACTTCTTACTAAGAAGAGAAGCAAACTTAATATAATGAAATATTCACCTGATTTTCTGTCAAAGTGTCCTACTAGCATCTGTTCATGTTGACTTGTCTTAAAATTCAAAAGAGAAAACACCTTCAGAAGCTTTTTATTTTCTCCCAATTTCAAGTACTCTTGCCTCTGCTTTTAGCACTGTCAATATCAGCCTCTCTGGATTGTGTACTTTCTCTCTTTCTCCCTTTCCTCTTCTTAGTGAGAAATGGGGATCAGCTAGCGTAATAACTAAATGCACTAACCATTGGAAAGCAGTTCAAAAATTTAAATGAACAACTCATGAAGCTCGGGCTAGTTTACATACATTCTGAAACATTTTTAATTAGCTGTTCTTTAATTAATATTACCTGTTATGATGACATCATCAATTTTCCCTGTATGATTGAGTCATCGTTATAGAATGTGATCCTGAAAGCAACCTGATTGTTTTTAAAGCCAAAAAGAACATACAGATGACGTTCTTACTTTTTTTGCTAATATTGTCATTCCTGTCCCCAGTACGAGTGGGACATATGACGCCATAGTCCCGAGGACAGCTGCAACTTTTGTGTGCAATTTACACCCATAAAGGCATAATCTGAAAAAAGTTTGTCTTTCATAGACACTTTGAAAATCCATAATCAGGGAAACTCTCTTAAAGTTTCCGAACCACCATTTGGTTGCTTATAGAATGTCCTCTGTCAGTACCAGCTAAGAGCTACAGCTCATTGGGATTGAGATTGCAGGTACTCAATCAAGATAGCCTTGATGCAACTGCTTTCTAGAGATGTTTTACAGAGGAAGGTCTTTGAGCAGTTTACATAAATTCCCAGGCAGAGTCCAAATGCATTTATTTTATCAGCAAAAAAAGTCCAGATTTTATGCTTTCCTGATCAGCTGTCAAAACAAACTTTCCTGCTGTACATCTTTTTTTATAGGTGCTTGTGATTTGGGGGAAAACTCAGGAACATTCAAAATGCTGGTTTGACCTTTTTTCTTCTCTTAAGCTAGGAGTGTTTCAATGAGTGAGATTTCAAAATCTGAATGAGATTTTAAATGACTCCTTGAATGCCCAAAGCAAAACCATCACCACAGGGAAAAGACTTATTTGAAAATAAATGCCAAAGGAGAGAGAACTTTCTAAGCCTGCCCTTAGTAGGTATGGGCCTGGGGGACATAGCATGCTTTAAGAATAGGAAAAGGTCATCTTCTGAATCTTTTTTGTCTCATCTAATTACTACATCTGTACTTATCCTTGCACCATCTTAGCCCTTGCTTGCTTGCTTGCCTCCTTCCTTCCTTCCAAACAGTATGTGTCTCAGGATTTTCACCCTGATTTGTTTATCCTCCACGATGCACAGTCACTCACTCCCTGTTGTGCTTTGTTGATCGATCAGGTTGTAATGAGAATGAGGCAGATCACCTGGACAGAGACCAGCAGCCTTATCCCCCATCCCAGAAGACCAAGCGCATGCGCACCTCCTTCAAACACCACCAGCTTCGTACCATGAAGTCCTACTTTGCTATCAACCACAATCCAGATGCCAAGGACCTCAAGCAGCTTGCCCAGAAAACAGGCCTGACCAAGAGAGTTCTGCAGGTAAGAAGCCACCATCACAGGCTTGCAGAATTCTCCCCTACCCCTGCCAGTCAATAGTATTTCCCTTTTGTGTAATGATAGCGATATATAGAGATAAACTTTTGCTAGATGTGTCCCTAGTGGGTGTGCAGAAGGGTATAGTATTACTTGGCAGGAATGCCAAATGTATGCCTTACCACCCAAAGGCAGCCAAATATTAAAACGTGGTTTGTAATTAGTCACATCATTGATATGACGAAACTGTCTCCAGAGTCCACTAACCCAGTAGCTATCACAATGCACCCTGGGATCTGTAGTCTCTTTGTGGTGAACTCTCTACTAAGTGCAGAGGTAGCAAGTCTGCTCCATTTGATACATATGGGGTGCAGCCTTTGGGCTCCCATGAAGTTGTTTATGTGGCCCCTCAGTGAGCAGATATATAGAAGCTTTGGCCGATTTGATCCTCCAGAACCAGCCTCCTCCCTTTCTCCATGCCTGTTAGACTGCTATTATTAAGGGCCTTCACAGTAGAACATCCCTTCCCTGTGAAAGACAGCCCAGCAAATCACATTTAAAAAGTCCCTATACAGTGTGTGCTAGTTTGCTGAAGTTAAAGCGAGGTATGTATTATACGCACAGTGTGAAAGAAGGGCAGTGATCAAGGTAGAAGGAGAATCTATTAGTGGCAATTGTTTGTCCATGTTACATGTCACCTAAAACATTTTCAGTGAGCCTTACCAAACAGAAAGACTAGGTGACCCATATCAACAATTGTATGATAGGGATGGTGTAATTACCCCTTCTTCTTCTTCAGTCTTTCAAAAGTGATTAAGACAAATTTTCAGCCTCAGCAAAAATCTGCTCACTCACCCTTTTCCTCACTCTTTACCATGATTCTTGAGCTAGAAAAAAACCCACACCTACCCAACCCAAGAATACATTACTTGGCCATCAAACAAGTCAGTTTCCTTGTATGAGTAAGCGAGCAGATTTTTGTCCAGGTTGCTCTTGGAGGTCTGCACATTGGACTGCAATGTTCCAGTGAGCACCCATAGTGGTGGGCCTTGTGTACAAGGGCCTTTGTATGACAGAATCAAGACAAACAGTAGCAAATGAAGCTGTAGAGTGACTTAGGTGATTTGCCAAACAAAAACAAACATCAAAAATTACATAGAAGCAAGAACAAAAACAAACAAAAAAGCAAACATCGGTAAAGAAATCAATTGGGATTGGTTTGCAGGTTTGGTTTCAAAACGCAAGAGCCAAATTCAGAAGGAACCTTTTGCGGCAGGAGAATGGGGGTGTCGATAAAGCTGATGGCACGTCACTTCCAGCACCGCCCTCAGCAGACAGCGGCGCTCTCACTCCACCCGGCACTGCGACCACTTTAACAGACCTGACCAATCCCACTATCACTGTAGTGACATCAGTGACCTCTAACTTGGACAGCCACGAATCCGGGAGCCCCTCACAAACTACCTTAACGAACCTTTTCTAACATTTGATTTTTTTTTTTTATTCTTACTCTTCTTCTTTATTATTATTATTATTATTTTCAAGCCTTTTTTTTTTTTAAAAAAAACAAACCCATAAAAAATTTGGGAAAATAAACAGCTTGATGTGTAGCATCTGCAGCCACTTGGCAAATGAGTTTGAAGTAATATGTCGCTATAATAAATGAACATTTATTGTTGATAAATTGTATTCAGATTTTTTTAATTCATCAAATAACTGAAGAGAAGGTTATCAATCATTCTAATAAGTGCCTCTTAAAATTGTATGTTACTTATTTCCAGAATCTTGAAAAAAAAAAAAAAGAATTCTACCACAGAAAGATAGAAATCTCCTTTCTCACTCTGACAACTAGATAAAATTCACTTTAATTAAAGCCAAAAGAATGCTGCTTCAGGATTGTACGCTCACTTAACGGCATTTAAGAACCCTAACATTCATTTTATTTTTATAATGCATCTTACAGTTTTTTTTTTTTAAAGAAATACAAAATGAATTGCATTAATAATTGAAATAGTCAGACTGCAAGTGCCAGTGCTTTTTTAATAATGTATTAGTCCCAAGCCTGACCCTCCTTGCACCCTGGGATTTGTCACTGGGCTAGATAAACGCTCCTCTGCCAGTTGCTCACCCAGCTGGAATGTCCTCGGACACCACTGAAAACTGTGCCTGGATGGAGGGCTTGGAGAGGGATCTCGTGGGAGTGGCGCATGGATAAGGACTACAGGATCAGGCTGTTGGTCTGTGAATTCACCTTTTGTACATTAAGGAGGCAAGATCTGGAAAATACCCTCCCGAATAAGCTTAATCCTGCAAGGATATTATGAAAGTAATAACAGAAAACCTACTCAAGTGGGGAGTCCCATTGATTTAAAATCTTGCATAGAGAGGATTTTTCGTTTTTGTCTGCCAAACAACACTGATTTGGAATGAAAAAAAGAAACCAAGTGAGTTCACTAAATGGCCCTGATGCTGTACCATTGAAGCAAAAAGGAGGTTGGCCACCTACATTAGTAAGCGCAAAAGTGGTTTCTAAGAACATATACGCATGTGAATTGTTAAAATCAGTTTTTGATGAATCACACTTTTTTCAGGGAAGATGGAAATAAGCAAAATATAATTTATTAAGATGTTTAAGGAAAATGATTTTAGTACAATTTATTCATTACTATTTTCATTTTACTTTAGATGTTTACTGAGATTGTATCAGATGCTTCATTTAATACATGAATTAAAAATTTTAGTTCATTAATCTTTTTAATACTTTAACTTTTTAAACCTTGTATAAAAGAAAAAAGCGTGAGTGAAAAATTCTTGCAAAATTGGGAATTGGCAGTGATTAATTTTAAAGCAGATAAACTCAGAAGCCTAGTGGATGCTGATCTGAATACATTTCTTAGTTTACAATAATGACCTTTTTTAATTTTATTTAAGCTAAAAGTCTGAATGGTCTGGGCAGTGGTGAATGTTCATTTGTATCCTTTTATTGTAGTTAAACACCAATTAGATTGTGGAGAGTCTCAGAAACAAAAACAAACAAAAATCAGTCAAGATCTATGTCTTGCTTTTAGTGGATTGTTAAGAATAACTTTGCACATATCCCCCACTTTTTAGACACCATCAAATCTCTGCTTTGGTGGTCAAAGTGGCTATTTAATATATTTTAAAGGTGTCCTTTCTGGCTGTATAAATGTGTGGTTACATATTGACAGTTCACTGCCCACATTAAAGTGCATTATTGTAATTTTTGCTCAGGGTTTTTAGAAAATTAGCACAGAAAAGTAGCTTATTTTTAAAAAAAAGATGATGGGAGAGATGTTAACACTGTAATAGAAGAAAGGTGTGTTTGCCATTATATATTTAGCAAGTATGGTTATCATCTTCTATGGATATTAAATCTTGACTTTTCCTATTTCTATTACCTTATGGGCATTTACCACTAACCAGACCAAACAACCTTGGTAAGGCTGAGATCTTTATTAATACACTTTTACAGGTAAAATATTGATACTTATAAATTTTGTTCTTTGACAGAACAATATATGGTACTAGAGATCTACTTTATTAAGTAGACTAATTAAAACTCAGTTCTACTATGTGCCTTATGATATACCTTGGGAGTAAGTTTGTGAAAAATCAGGATATATGTGTTGTTTGTTAAATTAACTGTTTTAAGCCCTTTTGACACCTCACTAGTTTTGTACTGTTTTACCTCTTATTTCTGAAACTCTTTTTATGGTGTATCCTGTTAGAGGGGACAAACATGTCATAGAAAGCAGTTGTGCACTCTTTCAGATATAGTTGATAAATCCAATAATCTTATATATTGAGCTTCGTGTTTATAGTACAGTAAGTGGTCTAGCAAAATTGTCCATGTTTCTTTGTTTATTGATAAATGCATTGTATAGAAACTATTTCCCCTAAATATTTATGGACCAAACAATTGTGATATATCCTATTAAATTTGTGTGAATAAACCATTTTGAATCTAAGGAGTTTTATTTCCCATCAGTTTTTATTACTATTCTTTTTAATTTAAAGTTTTCATGTACCAGTGTGTCTCTTTGCTTTTACGGAATCTGTGAACAATTGATATTAAACACGGAAACACGGCCTTATAAATATTTTAAAATATGGTTTCTTCTTAGGTTTTCGATTTCCTCATATTAAATGTATATGTTATTGCTGGTGCAATTTAGATTTTAGTCTTTTTAACCCCTTTTTTGAACATGCAAAGTAATGCCCCACTGATTTGATATTGAAACCCTGTCTTAGACTTCTAAAAACCCCAGAAAACTATCAGATAAAGTAAATGCATGACAAATATAACCTAAATAATATGATGAAATGAATCAAGATTTAATGCTAGGTATATTGCACACAAAATAGAATTGCAGACCCCTAGAAGCCAGGTTGCTCTGTAGTTTAATAAATTGTCACTATGATTTCTTTCAGGGAGAACAAATCATGGGGCATTACAGCCAAACATCCCGACGTTTGAAAATTCCCTAAAGTATTAAAAGAAGGGGAAAGTTTGATCGGAAATCCACTGCAGTGAAGACAAAGACAATATTAGGTTATGATAATCATACATTTAAAAATCTATTGAGCCAAAAAATAAAAATAAAAGACTTGATGTCATTTCCTGAATGTTAACAAAACATATGTTATTTTACGGTGTCTAATTAACAGCACTGAAGGCTTCAACAAATTGTGTGATATTAAAAACAAATTTAGAGAAACTATGTATAAAACCAGAGCAACCTGGCAGCAATCTACCCAGCCCATATTTGAAGAAAACTTCTTTAAAAAAAAAAAATCACATTTGTCAAGCACAAGTACTTGTAAAATAAAATCTGAGTGCATCCATTCCACTTGCTTGCTAATGTGTATTAGTTATATCTGTTAAATGGATTTTTGTAAATTCAAAGAGAACTTTTCACTCATTCAAGATCATAGGAATCACAACCCAGTAATTTTAGTACTATTGTTTCTGACTTCTTTTTTCAAAAATGAGACAAATCTGCATGCACTTTTCCATCTGTCACATATAGTGTACATTTCTGTATGATGAATTTCTCTTCGATGTTTCTTGTATAATAGCTTTCATTAATAAACATTTTATTTGATGCAAACATAGTTAACTTTATGTAAAAACACAGCTAGTTGTTCCAATTAATTTAAACTTTTCTTTTGAAAAGAAGCAGTACAGTGCAGTTCCAATACATTATATATAGAAAATCAAAAGGAGGTAGCAATACTGCTGCACAGTGTACAACTATTTCCCTTGGTGTTTACTTCTTAATTTTTTAACTTGTTGTATAAAACTGACATGTTCTAAAAAAATTCCCCATCAACATCAACAATAAAACAACTCCCAAATTCTTCATCAAAATAAGAAAACATAAGCATTATGATATGTAAAATCATAAATGGCTTTTAGAATACCAGGATATAATTTGTAGATCCCTGATCTGTTTACATGGTCACTATGCAATGAGCAAGTATGTTACAAAAAGTTGGTCCTAAGATTCCCAGTTCAAATCACAGATGATTTTTACAAGCCAACAAGTAAGTGTAACAATAACCAAATTCTTAGTAATGAGGTTTTGTAACTGTTAAGCAACTATTTGCAGAAAGATTTTTTAAAATATATTCTATTTAGCTGTATAGCCAAAGCGTATGTTAAACAAATTAACATATAAAAGACTTGCCAGAAAATCTTTCCTTAAGATGACATTTTTATTATATACTAATGAACCCTATGTAAACAATGTAACTTTTATGAATGATGGACATTAAATATTTCACTTACATGTATCCTCAGCATTTTGCATGTTTTCTTAACTCTTCCAGTTTCTGAATTCTAAAAAGAAAATACAATAATTAACAACATAACACAAAGTTACATAGAAATTACTGCAGTGATTTCTGGAAACCGGTACCTAAGAGTGTTTTAACTGCAATAAAAAGGTATCATTTATTGGTGGCAATTATGGGAAGCATTGTTTAAACAACAGTTTTACGGTATGTTGTAAAGTTCTGTTGAAAAAGGTTAGCATGGAGGACTTAATTCAAATCAGCTTGGTCAGAAATTTAAGCATATTGTGAAATTCTTTAACTAAGCCTTATGTGTATTTATTACTGCAAAAAGTTAAGTAAATGTAGGAAAACAATTATTCATATCACATCCATAATGTGGTTTCCTCCTGTTGTGCATAGGAAAATGTTACAAACATTAATAACTTATTCAAATCAGTAACAAACTTGGTGGTGTTTACAGCCAAGACAAAATCTATGTACTGTAATTGATTTTTATAAATTATTGTGTTCTATAATATGTTGTTTTCCTTCTCCCCATTTTTTAATTCGTTAAGACTTATTTCTAGTCTAAATTGTCCATGTGCTGCTGTCTTTCATCTGATTTAAAATAGAAAGAGACATTAACTAAATATTCCTGGTAAAATACTAGCCCAGCTGAAGTCAACAGCAAAACCATCACTGATTTAAGTAAAACCAGGACTATTTTATTTCTCCCTGTCTGATTAGTGTTATTAAGGTTTCTTAATGGTGCTATTCTTTGCTTCAGTGATAATGCCGCATATAGTGTTCCGGTTTGTCTGACTAGCTGCATTAGCCAATCCAAGCTCTTTGCAGGATAACGATATCTGTCTCGTGCTTTAAGAGGGGTAAACATGTCGAAAGGGCAGCATTATACTAGAAAGAAGGGGAAGGAATAATTTCAGACACAATTTGAAAGAACACAAGACAAATTCTGTTTTCAAAACTGTCACAAGAAATAAATGTGTTGGGAGGCTCTTCCTCTAGTTCTAGTGGATACATATCCATATCTAGAGCACTAAATGCAGGACTTACTTGAACTCCTGGTCTTGAAAAAAGGGTAAAATTGTGCAATCCTAAAACATCTTACTGAGAATTATTCACCAAAGAAATGATTTGCAGGACCACGCCAAATGATCGAAGGCTGACACCACAGCCCACTGAAAACAGTGAATATTCTCTCCCTGATTCAGTGGGCTTTGAGCCAGGATCTGAATGAACACAGAGATCAAGTTAACCTCTTGTCTCTAAAGAAAGTGTAACTTTCAGAATGAGACAGAATATATAGGACAGCCATGCCATTCTGTGCACTGGACTTCATTCTTCAGAGCTGCTAATCCCAGCACCTGGCACATGCCTTAAATTGACTTCAAAATATTTCTTCCTCCTTCCTCCTTCACCCAAATACAGGACACAAATTATACTATTGGAATTTCCAGAAGCTACTATAGTGTTGGAGACTTTATTCAGCTATTCTGCAATGTTGAGCAATTCTTCTGCACTTCTCACTTGACACAGACTTATCCCGACATATACCTATATACATGTCCTTGTCTTGCCTTCAGATAACCAGTACTTTCATATTTATTTAAGTCATTCAAACCTATAGAAAGCTACTCTCCATGGTTACACATTCTAGCAAAAGCAGTTGTCATAATTTTTGCTTTGATTCTCTTTTACGGTAAAGCATTTCTCTGGAGTAGTTTTTGTTTTGAATTTATACCTTTGTATGCTATTTTCTTGTCATAGCCGTGGACCAAAAACTATATTGCTTGAAACTCTATACTATAGAGTACTATAGAAAAACTATATTGCTTGAAAAGTGTATGGATTATTTTGCCAGCTGTTCCTCTAATGTTCAGAAGAACTAACTTACTGCAATCACTGAAGTCAGGGCTTGCATATTACTGTAAGGATATTCCACTTTACAAACTGATTTTATCATAACAAATCATATCAAACACATCTGATTCCAATTTGTGCTAGTATGATTAGTACTAGACATCATAGCTTCTTGATTGCATCCAATTCTGGATCAAGTGTGCTTCTGATTTTGGAAATGGCATTGCTATCGAGCATCCTTTGAAATATCCAATACTTGCTACTGCAAGGAGCAGAGGACTAGACAGAAATACGACCCAGGTTGACAAAAAACAGTGTTAATTTGTAGTTTACCATCTTTTCAAATTGGACTTCAACAGAGGATAAAAATATTGTCAATAATTATTTTACTGCTAGAAAATAAAAATGAGATATGCTCCCCTTTTGCACTTCAACTATACAGCTCAACATGGATTTCTGAGTTTGAACAGATGCAGTGTTTGGAACCTGTGAGACTGCTGCATACAGCAAGAACTTGACAGGGAAAGGAACAAGCTAAGAAATGATTACCAAACTGCAAATATAAGCAGTCACTGGGAGATAGGTGGTAGTTTTATTTCACCATTTTTCTTCAGGAATTTGGACTTACCTGAGAGTAAATGACCAAGCACCTTGCTGTAGCCACAGGTAACCTGCTCGTATGACAGAGATGCAATAGTGAACAACCTGTAACAAGAATTTCTCTTGAATAATTTTCTAGTGAAATAGCAAAATGTTACCCTATATCCTAAAATAAAATGTTACATATAAAAATGGACAGCACAAATCACTATCACATATTAACATATAAACATGTACATGCTCATGATTTCTGTTTAATTCATAGTGAATGATTAACGTTTATCAAATAAATACACACATTTCCCATTACAACGAGGAGCCATGAACATAGTCTCAGTTGAGAAGGTAAGAATACACTTAGAAACTAACCAACTTTGCAGCTCAGAGGTGAATATTTTTTATCTGCAAAGATACTTGTATAATTATTGCTCAGGCTGCAGCCCTAAATGATAGACAACACCTCCCATTTTCTTTTTTTGATTGTCCAGCACAGTATTATTTGATATTATTATTATAAGGAAAAGTGAGCTACAGAAAAGAAAGTTATGTGCCCGATAGTGTATTACACATAAAATGCTGCTGCCATGAGGCTCTGAAAGTGGTAAATATCAGTATTATGGAACGCATATCTTTCTTTTCTTTCTTTTTTTTTTTTTAATGCTTTGCTACTTGTATATGAAGCTACATGGATAAGCCTTAATTACATTAGCAAAAGTAATTTTCTTCTTCATTTTGTTGAAACCTTTCAAACAAGCCTTCAGACAGACATGTTTTTGTGAATTGGCTCTGGTTGGAGCAAATTAGGAAGTTATCGGTGCTGCTATTCTTTATGAGCTATCAGAAATAGTTTATCCACCCATGAGTGCTTTCTACATACAAGCTTAGAACTGTCCCAAGTAAATTCATTTCTTCTGCTATTTAACCTTTAATAGAGCACTAACATGACACTCAATACATAGTAATCAGAGTTTCAAAACTACAAGGTCTCCAAATCAGAAGTTACTAAAACAGTGGCAGTTAAAAGACTACATGACTTGGAATGCTCAGGCCATTTATAAGTGATGTCCAAATCTAGAGATTTTTTGGTCCGATCGTATTGTAATAGCAACAAGAGAGAGCTCGAGAACCCGTAAGTTTGGTTGTGTCTTTGAATCTATTCAATCTGACTAAATTCAATGCATTTTTAGAATGGACTGATGGAATCCGATGAAACTTGGAACATTTAGATTAAATTTCTTGGATTTCCTCATTTGGATCTGTCCGAAACACAAAAATAGTCTTTTTATGGCATGTTAGACTTTTTGGTCTTTAGCAAAACTAAAAAATGAAGTAAGAGATAATACCAGTGAAAAAAAGATTTTAAATAACTCAGATTCACTTCAGGTCAGTCCTAGAAATGCCCAAAGCTGGGTTGATTTTTTTGTTTGTTTGTTTTTTAGAATAGAATAATAATGGAGAAAGCCATTTTTTGATGCAGATTGTCCAATAACTAGTCTCTATAGGGCCTGTCTTTTATCCTGTGAAAAATTGTGCTATTAGGTTAAATAACACTTCATTATGAAAGCCCTTCACTTAAAACAGGTTGAATCCTCCATTTTCTTTTGGGTTTTTTTTTCCAGCATCTTTGAACTTTTGTTTTCTCTGTATCACTTTCACGTGTGTAAAGCAAATCTGTGCAGTATCCCAGAGACAATCTTACTAGCACAATATATATTTGTTTATGAGACAGTCTTCATTATACATAAAACCTAGAACCAAACATACCTTTTCTCAGCTGCTTTTCTCCATTAACTTTTATTCCTTTTACTAGTTCTGTATATATAATATATATATATTTTGCAAACTTGTCCCT